TTTTTTTTAATATTTTTAATGACCAAAACAAAAAACGCTTAAAACCGCAGCTTCTGGAAGAACCACTTATTCTTGCCCATCTTGTACCTCTCTTCAAACTTGACCTTGGCCTCCCGTCGGGCCTTGCGTTTAAGAGCAGGGTCTATGAAGACATCCTTGTTGACAACAGTTTTGTCCAAGGGTATATCCACAGAGTACCTTGTGGGCATGAGGTGATTGTAGTTATAAACTTTCACAAAAGACTTGATCTTTGATCGCTTGGCAATCTTCTTCTTGTCCATGGCAGCTGTCACTTTGCGGGGATAGCGGTCAATTCCAGCCACCAGAGCATGGCTGTAGGGACGGTCTGAAGTGCCATCATTAATGTTCTTCACCACGACGGCTTTCCGTCCGGAGTAGCGTCCGGCCAGGACCAGCACCACTTTCCCGGTTTCATGAACCTGCCCATTTCGACGCAACCAGCAGGGTCTACAGCAGAAAGGAAGGGTGTCACAATTTTTTGACTTCTATTGGTGATGAGAGTGAGGGAAGAGAAAACAATAATCTGTCCAAGGTAGGATGTGGTGAGTAAACTAAGATAATCGAAATGCTGCCCCACAGCACATTCACGTCGGTAGTATCTTCAAAGTTGGTCCAAGGTAGGAGTGAGGGAACACAAGAGCTTGTGTTAGTTCATCATCTTGCGGAAGCTAAAACCGTGCCACCTCAGTCTGGCACACAAGTATATGTTGACGAAATCCTCTGGGAGCCAGATGGGTCTCAGAGGTTTTATAATTATGGTGGTTTTGTAAACCTCATATTTTTCACTTAGATCTAATTTACTGAAGCAAACCAAGTGAGTGAAAATTGTGACTTATAAGCCAGTTATATTAGTGAGTGACTATTTGTCTTGCAAAACAATTTGCCATAAAATTCCTCTAAATAGCAAACTTCCATAATGCATTTAAATGTGATATGATTCACAAATTCCAGCTTATATTTAGTTTTTGGGAACACAAGTATTAGATTGCACTATAGAGAACCTGGAAGGCAGAGAACTTTGATTCTTACCGAGTCAACCACCAACTAAATAAATGATTCATTCTTTCTTTTCTTTGTTCCTTTATTCTTTCACTCAGTCTACCATTTGCATATTTGATCTAGTTGTGAAGCTTTTGTATCAGCTCTAAATCCACCCTCCTGTACTCTGCTTTGTTATGTCAGTGCTGGAACTCTGCACGCCATGTTTCTGCTCTGCCACTGGCTCTACGATAGGCTGAGGCAATATGGCATGTGAGAGGGACACTGGAAAGCTAGAGAAAGAAGAGATTTGCTCGGTCTCCTCAGAGATCTGGACCCAGCAGCCTCCTTCCCCCGCATTAGGCTCGGAGAGTCCAGCATCAGCCAATCAGTTCCTCATCCTCAGAAGTCTGAGTGTCAGCTGCATGTGCTTCTCTAGCGTTTTCCAACCTGTTCCCTTTGAATGACAGCTACTTTTGCAAAGATACCTTACCTCTACCTCTGTGATGTCTTAGCGTTTACGTTCTACGCTTTCAGTTCTTCACTACAACTCTGTTAAAAAAATTAGCATGGTTTATATTTTCTTATTAGAGTCTGACAGATACAATATTCAACTTTTTTTTATTAAAAAAATCTGATATGTATGAATATCTGCATTATGTTGGCCATTGTTAATGATGGTCAAGTCAATCATGTTCTTTGCATTAATTTTTTAGGAAATATTAACTATACTTTCACAAACTATTTTAGAGTTTTCTATTTTGTGTGTGAGGAAGAAAGTAATATGAGGAAATGAATGCAATCATGCTATGGAACTAGGAATACTTGACATTCATATAGTGTTCTACAGATTTAAAAGTACCTTCATGTTCATTATACCCTGTGAAAGTACAGGGAAGCTAGTATCTGCATTTCACAGATGAGAAAACTTGATGTTCAAAATTTTCTTCAAGCTTTTTCTTTGAAACTTAAATCCCTGTTCATTGTCAAAAAATAATTTAAACATCTTTAAAGTTTTAAAATGGAAAAGCAATATGATACTAAAATCACACACATTCTCAAACTCCAGAATTTTTGGTTCTTCTACAGTGTGGGAAAATGTAAGACATATATTTAAGAAAAATATACATTAAAAATTTGTGGCAGGAGGTTGAAATAATTTTTGGCGAGCCAATGGTGCGTGTGTGTGTGTGTGTGTGTGTGTGTGTGTATGTATGTATGTAATTAAAATAAAAGAGACTCAGGAGAACAAATTTCAAATTCTAGCTCTGGAAAACACCCGTTTTGAAGACTGACAATACCATATTTTATGGTATTCCCTTTAATTCAACTGCAGTGCTAATACCATGGGCTTTTTCACAATATAAAAGTACAAAATTTGACAGTCACTTACTGCCCATAAAAAGTTCTACTTTCTAGGCTTGCACCCAAAAACTAATTTTGGTTGTATGTGGGTGTGACAAAACTCCTAAGAGTAAAAGAAAAAACAAAAGAAACTTTTCCCCAAAATTATTTGGTAAAAGTGCTTCTACAGGGTGATACAACAGATTTATATCCCTGGCTGTCCTTCCCCCCCAATATATTGCTGGAGACCTCTTGATGGGGCCTCGATTAAAAATCACAACCTTAATGCATTTTTCAAAATCAGCACTCAGAAAAATTGCAATGAGCCATATTGTTCATTTATTCTCAAAATTTTATTTCAAAGAGATACTTTATAATCTTAGTAGGGATGAATGCAATAAGAGTAAGGGTCCAACATGCTTCCAGCATTGGCTTTTTTTGTTAAGTCATTTTTTGATTGTGAAGATTCTTTTTTTTAAGAACTGAATATCTCTAAACATGCGAAATGGTTTTTTGTGTTTTCCAGAACTAGTGATTCAGAGTGTCAGATAGAGCTTCAGAAAGTGCTCTGAGGACATCTGAAACACCTTGCCTCTCAGGAATGTAGCTTTTCAAACGACATTGACTAAATATAGAAGAGTAAGAGTGGGAAAGAGAATGAGCCATTATTAACCTTCTTTTCTCTAAGAGTATATTCCTTAAGTGATCTTTGTTTTAAATTGGTCAAAAGATTTTCAGTATTCCCAATGAAGGTGGATTTTTACTTTCCCACTGCCTTTTTCTGTTTTGATTATTTTTCCTACTTCATTGTTTAAGCCAGAATCTGGTTTCAAAGTAGGACATGACTTTGACATAAATTACAGCATGCTAGAATGCTTAATCTTCTCAGTCTCATTTTATTGCTGTCCTGTATAAATAACACATAATAATTTTGTTTTATTAATATAGTGATCCATCTTTATTGCCCTGTGCTTGTTAATGAAGATTGAAAATGAAGGTCCTCACCTATAAATTAGAACTGTTTAAACAACTGACAAAACTAATTAAAGATTTTTGGTATTAAATTGAACTTTCTTTTCTTGGATATATTATTCACACAGAGTCCCGAATCCTCTTTGATATTTTTGATGTTTGAAGAGGATTATGTTCAGTCACATGTCTGAGTATGTTTAGAAATAAGGTATTCGTTTGTTAGGCTAATTAATCAATCAGCACATATCAGTTTCAGAGGAAAGGTCTAAAGTGAGCTAAGTCACTAGCACATGATTAATCCAATTTCATGGGTAAAGAAAGCTTCGAAGTAAACTGTTGAGCATGGAGAGTAATCCAGTGTTTGCGTGGACCCCTTCAGGTCAGCAGCGGAAAGAAAGGAAAGGTCCTGTGAAACATTTCCTCCTCCATTCATCTGCTACCATTGACCTTCTTTTAATCTTCTCTACAATGAAAATGACTATTTAAAGTTCCTGAAATGTGCCAAACTCTCTTTTGCCTCATGTTTTTTGCATATGCCTTTACCTTTGGCTGTACTATTCTCCCATGGTCACCTTTCGCCAAACGCTCCCTGTGCTGTGTGTCCATTGCCATAACTTGCTGGTAGGAGCTCTTTCCGGTCTCAGCTTAGATGGCGTTTCTTCTGGAAAGTCTTTTCAGTCCCAAGACTGAGATGGATTTCCTTCCTATGTGCTCCCATTATACATACCCTCTTCTTGCCTCTATTGTAATACTTATCAGTATGTTTGGTTATATGTTTGTTTACTTTTCTGAATTCTTCGTTATAATGTAGGCTTCCTGAAGGCACAGATCACTAGTATGTATCATGGTATCCAGCACATAGTATATATTGATTACTCTATTATTGATTTTATTGACATCAACAGCTGGGAAAAGCGTGTGATAAATCCAAAATGCATAGTTCATGAGGCACTACACTGTGGTGATTTTGTTGTGATTAAGAGGGGATGGGTGTATTGACACCTAATGGGTGTGGTGCGCACTGTCTGGGGGATGGGCATGCTTGTAGCTCTGATTTGGGTGGGGCAAAGACAATATATGCAATCTAAACATTTGTACCCCCATAATATTCTGAAATCAAAAAAAAAAAGAGTACAGATACTAGAGCCAGATTGCCGAGGTTTTGACTCTCAGCTCTGCTACATACTTGGTCTATGACCTTGGACAAGTTACTCAACTCCTCTGCGCTTTAATTTCCTCATCTGTAGTGTAACGGCACTAAAGGGCCTCTGCCTCCAAAAGTGTTATGTGGTTTAAACAGCTAGTATGTTTATAGAAGACTCACTAGACCAGCGGTCCCAACATTTTTGGCACCAGGGACTGGTTTCATGGAAGACAATTTTTCCACGGATGGGGATGTGCAGGTGGGTGGCAGGCGGGGCTCAGGTGGTAATGCCAGCGGTAGGGAGCAGAGCGGCTGTAAAAACAGATGAAGCTTCGCTGGCCCCCCCGTTCCTGTGCACAACTCCCTTTCCTAAGTTTCATGGAAGAAAATTTTTCCATGGGGGGTGGGAGTGATGTGCAGCCTGGTTCCTAACAGGCCACGGACTGGTGCTGGGCCCAGGGGTTGGGAACCGCAGCACTAGACCATGTTAAGTATTAGATGAAAGTTTTATTACGAAGTAAACGTCCAGAAATGAAGTTTAATGTAGGATTGTCAAGTGAAGAACTGGAGACATTATAGTTGGAAAGAGATGGAAAGGTTCAGAGTCCAAAGTTCCAGACCATCACTTCCAGGCAGTAGGAGATTATAAGAGGACCTGGCTACAGCCTATGTTTCTCTTCTTCTCTCAGTCTTAGGTCCCAGATATCTAGTTTTATAACGTCATTCCTAGAGCAATAGTTCTCACAAGAGTGTCCTTCAAGTTTCTGAATCAGAATTACCTGATCAACTTGTTAAAAGGTAGATGGCAACACAAGTGGGGTGGCTCATGCCTGTAATCCCAGCCACTCTGGAGGCTGAGAGGGGAGGATCCCTTGAGTCCAGGAGTGAGAGACCAGCCCGAACAACACAATGAGACTCTATTTCTAAAAGAATTAAAACAATTAGGCATGGTGGCATGTGTCTGTAATCCCAGCTACTCAGAAGGTTGAGGCAGGAGGATCCCTTGAGCCCAGAAATTTGAGGCTGCAGTGAGCTATAATAATGCCA